TGGAATACAAAATTCAAATGTATGTAGCTCAGCGAAGAACGAGGGGAATTTGATGAGTCCACCGGTACGATATGGAGCAAGACTCAGCGCACATCTGTGTGCACGGTTGGCAGAAAATCTTCGGTGTGCTCACGGAAAAGAGGAAAACAAGATGCCCTCCACCAAGAAGGGCCTAAGCCTTCAGGCCAAAAAGCAGACATTAGGGGTAAGTCCCTCATGCTGAGACATGCGGATTCAACTAGTTTGAATGACAGCTGTCGAGGCATCGAGGGACTTTGTTAAGTTAGGTTACTCTACATACAATCAGAAGGTTGTTTGCTCCCACTAGAAAAGGCGAGTACATATTTAGTACTCGGCTCAAGGATGTTTCCTTCCCAGCACGCGGTGGAATTAATGGCAGGGTAGCGCCACCCGTGTTCACTCTTCAACTCTGTTGTGTGTTTTGGTACAAAAAACAGTTGATGGTGGCGCCATCCGGATGCAACCTTCCAGAAGACTGGAGGACTGCCGGACAGTGGGATTTTTTTAAGTGCATCGAGGCATTTATTGCATAACACTATCTAAACAAGTCAAGAACTGATACACCTTGAAGAATTCGGCCATTTATGTAGTCAGAGCAAAGGATGTCGATGATAGCTTCCGTCTTTTTTTGGTAGTGATCTTTTATTTTACACACCCTTGTGCAAGCACATCCATTTGGATATGGAAGTTGATGTAACGCGATATGGGAATTGGCTGGCCACTGTACTCGTTGGGTCTTTCAGTCAAGGGTCGGGCTAAGCCCGAGTGTCGGGTTTGACTCGAAGCTGTTTCTATTCGAGTATCTGGACCCACACCATGGACCATGCCTGAGTGAACAGTAGGCAACAACACCAGAAACTCCTTTCTATCCTCAAGCCTTCAACTCGACTATAAATCCGATAAGCATGCTTCATTCAGATCAACCTTGGCGAATGGTTTCAGGATGCCTTTCCCTTTCAAAGCCTTTATCATCTTCATCCATACCAATGCCAACAAAAACCTTCAAGAGGTGTTTATGCTCAAGTTCTATCAACCTACGAAGTCGAACCAAATTGAGAAGACCGGGAGTCTTGGATCAGAAACACCGTGAAGCATTTCGTAAACTCTCTACTTCATCCACATGGCTTCAAGTCGATCACTATGTAACCCTTGGAATTGAAAGGACAGCAAGTCCACGACAGATTAAGCAAAAGTTTTATGAGGTCTGCTGGCAATATTTTCGAGCTTCTAATTTTCATTTTCAGCATCACTTTGATTAAGTATAGTCTTGTCGATTTGTGATTTTGTGTTTGCATATCAACAGCTCTCCAAAGAACATCATCCAGATCTGAATCCACAGAACGAGCGGGCTACGGATCTTTTCAAAAAATTTGCTCATGCCTACAGTGTTCTATCTGATCCTGTTTCTCGTGCCAATCACGATGCAAGTTTACATCGACTACGGCCTCAGGCTTACGATCCTCAATTCGATCCTAATGTCAGTCCAACCACAAGAAGCAATGCATCTCGGCGTGCACAAGCACATTACGCTTGGAACGCTAGACCACAACAACATCGACCTTCTCCATTTCCATCACGTTCTGCAAATCCTCAATTTAATCAAGAACAAAGCGAACGTCGTGAATTTGAAGCTGCGATGGCTAGATTTGCTCGTCTAGCTAATCGTCGAGCTCAAACTTCTCATCATCCTTCAAATTCACATCCCATCTTTTCCAACTTTCCGCCCAATGATGATCGTTTGAGGCCACAACCTACAAGACTAGAACCTAAACCACAGGCGGCTCGACAAGCCTTTCGACTCGCCCTCCTCTTATCAATGATGTGTTGGCTGGGTGCCAAATGTGTCCCAACCTAAGTACTTAATTTTTGAGCATATCAATATATTTCCCTTTCTTGTTTGATCATATTGTATCTTATGCTATAGGTAGATTCTACTAACTCACAAAACAGTCAAGTTGGTCTACTGTGTAGGTAGGCGTCAGGTCCAGAATCAAAATTATTGTACAGATACATTCAACATTCACAACAATCACAATCAGAGACATTCTGGTATGTAGTTGATCTTACATGAGGGATGTTTGAGTTGAAATAGCAGTAATATCTACAAAGATTTTCAACTTCTAAAACACAGTGAGTAAAGCCAAGAATGTGTGAGAATCCTGCCTGCAAAACCGATTTTCACTTGTTTGCTGAATGACACCATTAGACTCTAATGTTGAACCATGATACCTAGACAACTGAAATGGGCACATTGAGCTTGATCAAAATATGTGAAGAACAAGTTGAAAATGTATTTCAAAAGATAAGCTGGGGTAGGTGTCAAATCTTTGGACCTAGCACCTAAGGCTCTGCTAGGACTGAGGATCATGCTAATATTGTTATTGCAGCTCAAGGCTGGTCCCAGGAATCTTGAATTTCAGTGTTGGTGCCATGTCCAGGGGATCTAAGCAGGCCAAATCCACTGAACATTGGGTGCTTGCTAAAATGAAATTTCCCTTGAAAAAACCTCAAAAAATCTTGGACCTGGAGACTTTTGCAGGCAGGATTGTTACACATTCTTGGCTTTATCCAACCACTATACCCTTCACAAAGTCTCACCCAAGATGCACATGTTTGAACTGCAAAAGAATGATCCGATCTGACATACTCAGACATTACTTGAACTCACAAGTTCAACTCAACAGTCACAGATCCAAAGGCCTGCTACTGTGTAGTAGCAAGCTGTATGGGAATCACAAAGGGGAATAAAAATAAATAAGATTGGTTCAACAATATATAAATGAGAAGGAAAGCTTCAATCCAATGTCCTCAGATTCCTCTTGGGTTTATCTTGAATCCTAGACATAAGACAAGCTGACCTTTCACTTATGCTTATCTTGGGGTTCGGTACGCTGCCATGATCTGAATATGCAAGATATGAGTTTATTATACAAAAATCAAACTCAAGCTGTGAAGAAATATAAAACCATTGTTGCCACTTTTTCAGGATTGAGGACTCACATGACTCTGAAGGCACAGTTTTTGTAGTTCATTCCTTGGTTGGCCAGTGAAATATTGATTAATATGTCCATATGTGTTCTATTCATACCCTGTTGGATTTATTTAATTCCAATTGTGGTCTAACTGTAGATCTACTGGACAAATATAACTAAAAAATACCTGTTTCATCAGTACATCAGTGTTTTTTTGACCCTTGATCCATTCCAATCAGGTTGGACAGTCCACCTGTAGCTTTCTGGGGTCCTCCTGGGAGGGCACACCACCAAGGCGCACATTGGCCCAGGCGAGTCTGGTACTGTTGGAAGCGGGGCTGGAGACAGAGACAATAACAATTTCATCTCCCACACTTCCAATCCCCACTCCTCTTTGAGAGGCTTGAGGATCTGCATCTCACCCTGTCTCTTTCTCTGTTCTTTCAAAAGCCCACCCGCCACGCAGAGCTGAGAAGCCTGTGTCCCCAAGAGTTTCTGTTCTTGCCTCAGATGGTTCAGAGGCATATTTAACAGGAAGTTTATTATACCTCTATAGTGGGTAGTGTCTAAAAGCATGAAATCGGGTATTTGGAGCAAAAAGTTTATCAGTGCCACAAATTTGATCCAAATTGGAATCCAAGCACAGATTTGGAGTCCTTGCATTGGCAGCTATCAGAAATTGTTATCTCTGAGTTTTTTCAAGGGCTTTAAATTTTTCATCTTTTTTACAACAAAGTAGATTTTAATCATAGAATGTAATTTTTAATACAGAAAATTAAACAATACAATTCCTAGTGCTTTGTGACCTTCTCCATCAGTGAGGACATGAATTACAGCAAGAAGTCAATATTTGAAAAAGTTATAAGGAAAAACAAAAAAAATGTCATCAATTGAAGTCAGCATTGGTCACAGAGCCATGAGCAGCGGTTTGGAAAGAGTTGTATGGGTGCATTGTGACCTGGTGTATCAGTGAGAGCAGAAATCAATAAGGCAAAACAATCTTTGATGAAAATGTAAGAAGAAAGGGCGGAAAAATACATCGAGGCCAGCATCAGTTGCATAGTTGCCAGAAATGGTTTGATGAGATGTATATGTCTTAGTGACAGCATTAGAACCACGTTTGACTTTCATGGCCTGCCTACAAGCTATCAAATGCATCAACCAATTGATAAATCAAGAAAAATTCATGAATGAGATCAAGCAAAAGGTTGACTTACAAGAGATTGAACATTATCTTGTTGGTCTTGGGATGAAGATGAAACCCTTGGATGGTTACAAGAGGACCGGTTTGCCTATTTGTTTCACCCAAATCCTTCTCTTTCTGGAGATTGGAACGCTTGTACGGTGTTCGAGATAGCCTAAAACAAAATTGTTGTATGTATTGATCCTGTCAGTATTGGATATATAAGACAACAAAGCAATCAAGATGAAAGACTTACATGTGACACCAAAGAAAGTCGATTGGAACCAATTGGCTCGAGTTTGCAATAGGATTTGAAGGTCGGAAAGGAACTGATCCACTTGAATGATGTGATCTCAATCCTACATGTATGGGGAAATTTGAACATATGTAATTTCTTCCCCGGTCCAACATTTCACGCTTTTAGACACTACCCACTATACCCCCTACTGATTCCATCCCCACACCACAATGAACATAAACCTAAATCTAGGTATATGCCTACTGTACAGTGGGTGACAAAAGGTTTATGTACCTCAGCTACATTTGTAATAGTGAAGCACAGTCCATGGGTGCTTTGTCTCTTGAATAACTTCTCCATACCTGGTCCATAACCTCTCTGAAAATGGAGAAGTGAACCCTTTCTCACACTCGGAAGGGCTCTATTATTTATATGCACCAATTTGGAATTCCTTGCACTCAACTTGCTAAAAACTTTCCCATCCCAAGTCTACTGTCTACACAGTGATCTACAACATCTGCAAAAGACACAAATCAAGCATCTCAAAACAAACTTGGACATTCAAAAAGATTCTCAGAACATGATCAGCATACCTTAAAGTGGGTGATCCAACAAAACCAATGTCCTTCAGTGGCCTGGACTGCTAGCAAGCTACCCATAAAAGCTTCTGTTTCAACAGTCTGATCAGACATTTGGCAACTTAGATTCCACTCTTGAGTTGCTGCAGTCAAGCCTTATCTCAAGAGCAAACATGTTCTCAAGTGTCTTGAATTTGCTAGAAAACACAAGGATTGGACTTATGAGGATTGGAAGAAAATCATTTGGACTAATTAATTATCATTCAAAATGAAAGCCTGCAAAGAGGGTTTGGGTGTGGCAGACATCAGCTGAAAAATACAAAATGTTTTTGGCCCCAAGTGTTAAGAGCGGGTGGACTTCAGTAATGATCTGGGGGTGTCCACAGCTGAACTTTGCTTACCAATGATAGTAATGCCTGTTAGAGGTCCAACTGGAGCTGTCTTTGTTGATTTTGTCTATTGTGGCGTCATTGAACCACTAATCACCTTGCCTAACTGTCCATCAGGTCTTGTATTGATTGAGGGTGGGGCCCTGGTTTACACAAGTAAAGTAGCAAAAAGAATGTAGGGATGAACTTTCAATCACAAAGTTCAATTGGCCCGCAAATAGTCCAAACCTTAATCCAACTGAGAACATCAATCATAACAGAATATCTCTGAAAAGCACCAGCCCCAAACAGTTCAAGAAATGTGTGAAGCACTGCATACCAAGTGGAAAGCAATCACTCAGAGCATCCTTCAAGCTTTGGTTGCATCCATGCCTGATCAAATTCACTCTGTGCTCAAAGCAAATGGTAGACACACTTGCTGGTAAAAGTCATTGTATTTTAGAGTCTACATTACAGTTATGACCCTTGAAATTCAGCCATACTCTGGTGAGTGGCCATCTAGACCATGAACTTTCAGGTATAGCAAAAGTGAGATTGAAAGCTATATATTCTGGTCAAGAGGTACTAAACAGGCAATTTATGGTACATGTACATATACTTTTTGTCACCAACTGTACAAGTAAACACAGAAAGCATATGTCACCCCCGGGGTCAGACTGGCTCACACTATATACACTGTAGTGATCTTTTGGCCCCAAGGGTGTTGTATCTTTTCTGCATCTACTTGTACACAGGGATTGGGGCTTACAGAACTACATTGCCCAATTGGTTATAAATACATAGAAGAACTGGAAGAAAACAAGCAACAATTAGGTGAGCCAAATTCATAAGCTGATGGTGATATTCCTCAATCAAGTAGTATTCAAGCTGCAGCTACAAGAGATGAAGACTCAAATTTACAACTTGATGCAGAGTGATTTTATGGAATGATCAATAAGAGTGATGAAAGATCTGATACCGTACTCCCACCCTTGAGACTGTTCAGCCTACTAGCTCTGTTTCTAATAAGAGGAAATGTTTAGATGTATCAAAAGATTTCAAGATTGTGATTGTGGATGCAGATGATGAATTCAGTTCATCAAGGAAAAATCTGTATTGATTGCTGTAGAATAGGGAGAGACAATCAAAATCAAAGTTTTGTCAAAGAGCAAAAATATACTGCATAAACTGATCATCTACTATATATAAACTTTGTTCTTTCTTAATTTTTTGAAGTGAAGTCTGAGGTTACAATACAAATGGTTCATTTTTTGTTTGTTCTTATCTCATCAATCTTTGTATGTATCATTTCTCAAACTTGTTCAAGGATTTCTTTGTGATTGAAAGATTTAATCAAACCTTTTGTTTAGATTTTTTTTCTGATTTGATCAATTATCATATTCATAAATTGGACTTGACTACAAACAGACCATTTACTTAAAGACTCCATCCAAGTAACATTTCAACACTTTTGATCCTTTATACAAATTTTAAAAATAATCCATCAAATTAGCTCTATACCAATCTGATTATTGAACATCTCTCTCCATTATCTATGCCATGCTTGTTTGCCAGTTTGGCAGCAAATTACTTGTGTGAGACCCCCAAAAAATGAGATCTTCATGTTGAGCCAATTCATCACCTTTTCAACCCTTTCTGCTGAGTTCCCCAAGAGGTCTGCAGGCACAGATGGTACCAGACCAACCCAAGCACCCAAGCAATGCAATACTTTAGTGTTGAGATGAGCCAAGAGACCTTTGTTGGATGTTGTGTGATACTCTATGGGTTTGATTAGCCAAAAGTGATGTTATGGGTTCATTTAGCCCAATGGGCTCTCAAAGTAGACCCAGTTTCAAAAAAAACCAGTTGAACCAGTTGACCCTTTGGCTGTGAGCTGTCAAAAAATGTCAACTTGATAGTAATACACAAAGTTACCACCAAAAAGCAACTGGGTCAACTGGGTTTTCTTCCAAGCAGGTCAACTTTGAGAGCCACTATTGAAGGACTCCTCACAATTACATTGTCCTTTGAAAACTCTCCTTCAAGCCCCCCCACACCACACTCAGGGCTTGCAGGTTTAAGGTCATAGAGAACAAGGTATGCAATAGAGTGACCCCCAGGCATACTTGGGGGCACACACTCCTAACTAATAGATCTAACTTTCTCCTGTAGACATTCTTAGACTATTTGTTCAAGTTGAACCAGGAACCTGTTAATGAATTTTTGAAAACTTAAATCAAACTTACATTTATCAAAGTGTTGGATCCATGTATGAATTGATTTGAATATAAATTATTTCTTTTGATTATCATTTTATAAAATCTTGATTTCATCTTCACCAAACCAATCAAAGAATCAAAAAAAACACAAATTAATTCTAATTCTACAAAACTTTCAAAAAAAAGAAGAATCAAAAAAAATCCCAAGAATTAAAACCTTTTTACTTACCAAAAAAAAATCAATTAAATCAAACCCAAACCAAAAAAAATCCCAATTAAAAAAAAGAAAAAACACCCATGCTTCTTAATGGCGTACTTCCATTTCCATCTATCTTTAAAATACTTTGTCCTTGTAATCTGTCCTTCAAATCATTAATAATTCATTTAAATCTTTTCTTTCTTCATCACTCAATTCATCACTATTTAAACCCTTTAAAACATCTTTAATCAAATCCAATAATTCCAAACCTTCATTATGTTTGACTTTTTGATCTTCATCTTCATCATCTTTTTCTATTCTGTTTGTTATTCTTGTAGGTCCATTTCTTAAAGTTTTCATTAAACTTTCCATTAAGATCATCGAATTCTTTTTAATAATCTCATGAAACTTCATCTCATTTTTCATTTTTAAATCTTTAATCTTCAAATCTTCTTGGTCTTGAGTTTCGTTTACTCGATCTTCGTTTTTAGTTTTCTTTAATCCTAAGTAACACTTCAAAACCAAATCAATTCCTCTTTTTCCTTCTTCTTCTTTATCTTCTTCTTCTTCTTCTTCTTTGATTGGTTGCTCATCCTTTAACAGTAATCCAACCAATCGATAACCTATCCAAACCGCAAAACCAAACCCTTCATCAAAACCCCAATTTCATCAATGACAAAAACAAAAAAAAAACATCACTTACCACTTTGATATTTACAAGCCAAAATCGTCAGTGAAACCAATGCTTCATTAACCAACAATAAATCATTCTGAACTCCAATCTTCAATAAATCAATCAAACATTCAATCACTTCATTCGAACTGAAACTTTCAATCTGATTCAAACTTTCTGCTTCTATTTGATTTTGATTCGATGGATTCGAATTTATTAAAGTAATCGAAGAAGCAATCAATCTCATTACTTCTAATTTAATAAACCTTTGTTCAATTCTTTTTTTAACTTTGATAACTTTTTCTAAACCTAAATTAGGTTCAGAAATGAACCTTAATACATTAGGAACTGTCCAAGAAAAGCCAAAAAAACTCATCAATATCTTGCTTCCATTCCATTAGCTATCTTTTTCTTGATAAATGATTCAAAAGAACAGTGATTTTTCCGGGCAAGGGGGTTGGGGATTGACTTACGATTTCGTTTACAAACATGACGTAAGAAACCTAAAGTTAATCCAATCAAAGGTTGAACTACATCATACTTATCACCAAGACATTTTAAAGCCAATTCAATCAAACCAGAATTCCCCAAACCTTCTTTATTTTCATCTAACAAACCAAATCGATCACCAAAGAAGAAGAAGAAAAAACACGAGACAAAATCAAGATCAGATTATGAACCATACCAAAAAAATCAATTAAAGAAAGAAGATTGACCTGCAACAGATAAATTTCTTGCTAATCCAATTAACGAATGTAAAACTTGAACTTGTTCACCTGGTCTTGAATTACCAAGAATTTCATCATCATTAGACCAAATTTGAAAAGCGTTAACCAATGGATCAAGAATTCCATAATGTTGAATAAGTTTTATAGATTTAAAATCTATAGAGAAACCCCAAAAAGAAAACGCCCCCCGCGCGTAAAAAAAGTCAGAAAGTTTGAACTTTGAATTTTGGTAAGAAAAAAAAAGGAAGACGAGATCGGAATGAGATTTACCACTACAACTGAAATTTCCTAATAAGATTCCAATAGTCGTCATCAAATCAGGTCTATTTTCAATCACTTCAACTTCCGAAACCCATCCCACAAGTAATCTAATCAACCATTCTTCTTCTTCTTCTTGGTCAATCCCATTCACATTAATTAAAGTTTTAGAAAGATTAGCCTTAGATTTATTCATCACATTCATTAAACTTTCTTCTTCTTCTTCTTTTATGATTTGATCTAACCAATGAATTGGTAATTCATTATACCTTACAAAATACAAAAGTCTTCCGACCACTGTATTAAGAAGTTCAGAAGGAGGATTAATTAATTTGTTTGATGGATTGATGGGATTTCGGGTAGAGATGGAAAGAGTTTTGAGAGCTTTTTGGATCGGTTGAGAGGTTTCTGTAAGTGATTCTAAAATCGTAGTACTTATACTTAAACATTCAATTAAGGATGAAATATCAGTTGGATCGATTTTTAATGAATTAAGATCATTTGATTGAATAAAAAAAGTGGGTGATAAAAGTCCTTGAAGAATATCATTTGGCATCATTTGTTTTGCATCATCTATCCCAAAAACAAAAACCAAACCGTATCAATTGATCGAATCTTTTGATTAACTTCTTTTCCAGTATGAAGTATTTACCTGTAGAAGATAATTCATCTAAAAGACGAATCGATAATAATGGAATTTCAAAATGAATTTCTCCTATAAGCTAAATCCCAAATTCATTTCAAACGTCAATTTTCTTTAATCAAAATCAAAAACTTTCACAATGTTTTTTTTTTTCGAAAAGACTTACTTCTACAAGATAAGAAAGTGGTTTAATCAATCCAACTTCAATATAAGCAATATGAGCCGGAACTAAAAAAAAACACATTGCCCCCCCAAAAAAAGAAAAAACAAGCAAATTATCAGTTATTAATCTCATCATCATCATCATCAAGAAAAACAAATATACTGACCATATTCAAAACATAAATTAAAAAGTACAGTAATGATGATTTGAAGACAATGAGTATGAGGTTGAATAAGATTAACTAAATTTGAAAGATTCTTAAAATAATCTAAATTAATCAAATCATAAAAAATTTTAGAAGCATCAAACGATAAAGATTTCGATCGATTAATATCTGCATTGATCCAAAAAAGAACGTCAATAAAGTATTTCCCTCCCCAAAAAACCAAGGTAGACAGAAAAAGGTTTCGTACCATGAGTATGAACCAAGTTTCCTATGACTCTCATTAATTGTTCTATTGCTTCGATGATCTGATCATTTGGTTTTAAATTCGATTCGGTTATTAATCTTCTTAAAAGCTTTAAAGTGTGTGGTATGACCAAACTTTGACCGATCGAATCTCTCAATCTTACTATCCCAATCCCAATCCAAATGACTTTCATCAGTTTGTTTTGTTTTGTTTTGTTTTGTTTTGAATGATTAACTTACAATCTCTTAAATGATTAGCCAAAGTTTGAGTGATTTGAGTTAAGTTGATGATTTCTTTAGTTTCGATCGAATGGCTTGAATTGAAGTTAGTTTCAAGGAACTCATCCACATCTTTTTGAATTTGAATTGATACTTTGAATTCTTCATCACTGCTTTCTATATCCAAAATCAAATCAAGTTCAAATTAAAGTCAATACATTATGCTTGCTACTTTTAAAGGTTTTGTAAAAAGAAAGAAGATGATTGACCTTTTTGATTAGTTTCTTCTGAACTCATAGTCTTGAGTTAGTTCCTTCCTTGGATTGCAAACCTTCCAAATCGATCGGATTCGAGTGGAAATGGTTTGGGTGAATGTCAATTTTGGTCGAATTTGGTATAAATTCAAAAAAATTCAAATTTCTATCTTCAAGGACACTTCAAACTTAAACCTATGTACTTCAACAAGACCTTCAACTTCATTCCCATCAAATTCATTCATTCAATCTTCACACTTATACTAAACTTCTCAATTCACATCAAACTTCAGGAGATACATGAGTTCAAGAACATTAAATTTCCTATCATCATTCATACAAAACCATAATCCAAACTATTATTGAATACAAAACAAAAACAAACACACCAAAACATCTAATCTAAAGAAATACAAAACACAAAACAGAAATGTAAAATGTTCAAAAAAAAGTTCATTTTAAAGTAGTATGAGCACCTCTTAAAGAAAGATAAATTTGATCAACTCCAGGTCCCTAAAACCCCCCCCCACCCCAAAAAAACCAGAATCAAATATAAGAAACGGATTCTTTGAGATTTGAATGATTTGGTTAAAGATAACTAAAAACTTACAAAAGTTTTAATTAATTCATATACTTCTACATTATGATATCTTAATCTAGATTTAGGATCAACATAAGGAGCCTAAGAAATCCAAACCAAAACCCAAAAAACAAAAAACCATCAATCAGACTGTCTTTTCCACTCCCCAAAGAGAAACTAAATCTTCATCTTTTGAATTCAAATGGTAGATCCAACTAGAAAAAAAAACCAATCTGCTTACTTCTAATCCAGTCACATCACAATATTTCTTCGGAGGAATAACCGAAGGAGGCGCCTCGATCGTCATATCTAAAGAAACTCAACCCACAACCGATTTCCCATTCACCTTACAATCCCAAAAAAAGAAAGCATGAATGAAAAAAACTTACAAGAAGAATAATTCACATTCGAAAGCACCGGTCCCACATTCACCGGTAAATTCCTACCTTTCTTCACCAAACTTTCATCTAACAAGACCCCTTGATGAACCTCCTCTTCACCTCCCCCAGTAACACCTTCGATTTCTTGATTCTTACCATTCTCATACGATCTGTTTTTCATATCAATCACACATTTAGATCTATACCTTTCAGCTGTGATGATTTGTTTAAACGTTTTGTTTCTTCTGATCCCAGATTTTTTCGTACAATCTTTAAATGGTTTTAAAATTGATGTATATGAATAATTGTCTGCTATTGACTTTCGAATTTAAAATTTCCAACCAAAAAAACAAAACAAAAAGATTGAATTTCAGAATTAGTTTCGTTTATATAGGATTTAGATTTTTTTTGGTTGGAAAAGAACAGGGAACTTTGATTTGACTTACTAAATTTGATCCGGTTTCTGATTGAGGTTTAAATCCAGTGGGTGTTCTAGTCGAACCTTTAGGTGGTGCCCTAACCAAAACCAAATTCAAAATCAGTTTGAATTCTTCAACAAAGAAGGTAATCGGAATCCAAGATCGATTTCTTACATTCTGAAGCTCAAAAGGTGAGTTAATTGTATCTGAGATTTGATTTTCAAGTTGGATATATAGCTGGATATACTTTTTTTACTCGATCGTTCAATGAGCTTGATCGATCCAAACCATCAAGTGAATTCGAGACCAAGACTGATCAAAGTTCGATTGTGGTGTACCCGGTAAGCGGACCGTTCCGGAGGAGAGCCCGGTCCGACATGCAAGTACACCACTGGCTCAAATTCAAAATCCAAACTCTTGACTTTATTTTCGAGTTTCTTATGATCCATTTTTGATTCTTAAATTACAAGATTAACTTTCCTGTAAATAAGCTCCTTCTTCTCCTTTTACATATACCACAATTTCTTTGATTATAACTCATGTAAATAAACTTGCATTTGAAATGAATGAAGGTGTTTGGATCGGATTCCTCAAAACTGATACACATATGACGACGATTACGTCATCGGCTATCTGGCCCAATGGTTAAGGCGCTTGCCTACGATCGTGTTTCGAAAGCAAGAGACTCCAGGTTCGAGTCCTGGGATGGTCGCTTCTCCCTTTTTTTGATCCTTGATCGCCCTCACCCTGATTTTTTCTTCGAAAGACTTCCTCCAAAAGAGAATGGGACAGAATTTGAAATTGATCAAAAAGTCAACTAAAATACTAGGCTGATATTGAGAGAACCCATTAAACAGGAATCCATCAAGACATTTGGTTTTCATTAAATCATTTCAACATAATTGAAAACCATGATTGATCAATCCATCATATTCATAAAGATCATGTACCATTTAAGAGAATAAAAACAACAAGATCAAAAAGAAAAAGAAAGATAAAAAAACTAAATTTCGTAATTGATAAGATAAAAAATAAATCAACAAAACCGTCCCCCCTTGCCTCGTCTCTCTGATTAATTAAAGTTTTGTTGAATTGAAGATTTTCATTGATAAATATACAAAAACTTATTCATCATCATCTTCTTCATCTTCTACGATTGCTTTTTTACTTGTTTTACCTTTTTTACCATTTGATGCGGCTGCTGCTGCTGCTGCTTCTTTTTTAGTTGGTTTAGATCCTGATACTGTCATATTAATTCCAAGCTAAAAGAAAAAAAGAATATCCCCCAAAAAGAAATGAAGAAGGTTAGTTAATTGATTAATAAGTTCATTTGGTTTGTTTCATTCAAGGGTTTTTTCAACTTACTTGTACTTGTAATTCTTTTTCTACTCCATCAACCTTGATTTTGATTTTAACTCTTTCTGAAGTTTTCCAACCGAAACTACCAGTCTGTTCGAAAAAGAAAAAAAAAGAGCCAAAGCTTTTCAATATAACCTCATTTATAATTACAGACAAACCTTTTTTTTCGGACAAGATGACGTACACTAAATTCAGAAGCTTTGACCTTTATAACTTGTTCTTCTCCATTATTGTTCATCGTAAATTCGATGGGATGATTTACTTCTAAAAACTCTTCTTTAGTAACATCAGGTACGATCTATTCCAAAAAAAAAACCACATCGATTTAAAAAAAAGAAAGAAAAAGAAATCGTTGAAGTGAGTTGAATAAGATTTTAGGTAAACAGATATCCAAAAACCTAAAAAGATCGGTTTACCTTTTGGAATCCTGGTTTAGCTTTCTTTGATGAACTTTCTTCTTGATTAATTTCAGTTTTAGATCCAGTTGGTTTAGATTTAGAAACAGGAGCTTCTGAATTTGCCTATGATTAAGTGAAATGATCAGAAAGAAAAAAAAATCACGCGTTTTAAGGATTTGATTAAGGTTATGATAAAAGTTTATGGTGAAAGGTTTTGATTACCTTTCGTTTTGGTGGCATGATGAGGTTTTTTGGGTTATTGGGAATTGAAGTTGGTTTGAGATGGGTAATCTAATCAAATCAAAGCAAATCAAATGAAAATGTTTGATGTTGATTAAAAGGAAGTGAAGTACTAGATTAGGAAATGATCGATCGATCGATGGATAGGAATCGCATTGGTTCTCATTCAGTTTAAATCAAATACAACAATCCAGACAATGTAGTTTCATAAAACTCATTTCGAATTCAAAAACTACATTTCATTCAAACTACCTTTCCTACTAGTACAATTGAGTTACGTGATGATGCAAACCCTTGCAAACCATGGGAATGAAAAGTAATGCTCCAATCCATCTCTATGCTTTCTTTCTTGATAATCTAAAACATCTTACACTTCTTAAACTGATATTCTTTCATCTAAGAGAACAATCTTTCACCTACATTTGAAGGTTTTATCCACACCATAAGATCATAATCTCAAAAACATTAACTTTTTCAGAGTGTTGTTAAGAGCTTTTTCCAAAAATGTTAATAGCCTCGTAAGAAAAATATGGTTTACAAAGATATATACATCCAAGGCTATCCAAGGTCCAAGAATTGATGGATACACGCATATGCCACTACAATTCCATAAGGCCATCCCCACAGATTTCAAAGTCCATGATTTTCAACCATGAGTTTTTCGGCAAAGAAACATCAGACATCGTGATTGCCTACCTTGCGGTTGTGCATACATATGGTGACAATGGCAGGCTTTAACAGTGTGTCTCTTAGCCATACAAACCCAACCTGAACCTCTTTGTATGTTTCCTTCTAGCGATTTGAGACAAGGCCCTTACAGACCTCCTTTTTAATCGAAGAAAACTGAGAAGCTGCTGCTCGATCAATCTTCTGCGGATTTTTCACTCGAATCTGGTTCAACACTCCGATTATGTTACAAGTTGATTGAATCTTTTTTTTTCAAAATTAACATCACTTGCATTCATCGATTTTGGGGTACGAAATTCAATCAATTTGGTGATTATCAATATGAAAGCTGAAGGCACATTTTCACTCTTTATATGAAATCCCAGTTTGTTTTTCAAATATTGTAAAGTCCTTCTTTCACAGCACAAAACCAATCCTAAGTAAAAAGAAGAAAACCTTGAGAGAGAGAAAAAGTACAACTCAAATTATCAAAAAATCTGAATCATGAATAAATATGTAAGAAAAAAATAAATAATAAAAGAAACAACAGATTCAAGAAATTCACATCAAGAGAATTTTATGATCTAGGGAAAAGTAAAATTAAAGTAAAAAAAAAGTTCAATATGAATTGTCCTTTGAAGAAAAAAATAGGTTAAATAAAAAAATGTTGAGAAAATCTAAGAATATGAAAAAAGGAAAGTGTAATCAAAATTTAAAGAGATAGAGATAGAGATAGAGATAGATGAAGAGAGATATTGATCATCGATTCAATCAAATAATACAAAAAATCTTTTTCTTAAATGAAAGTTAAATGAAACCAAATCGAAAAAAAAAAATAAAAAAAATTGAAAACCTCAAACAAATGCAGCTTCTTGAGCCAAAAAGAATTTTTGTATCTATGATTAATCAATATATATTCAATCAAAATCTTCCATGAAATCTCGAGTGAAACAAGCTGATTTAACAAGTTTTGGTCGAATCACCATTCACTTGTATTCCAAGGATCTTGACCACCCATGTTAATATGGCCAGTAGGTTTTTTCTTTGGAGGAGCTTTGTGATGTCTCTTGATTCTTGAATTTCCAAAAACACGATATCAGTCATAATCACGAATCAAATAGAAATCTAATTACCGAATGACTTACAGATCAGAAGACGAGATCTCTTGAGAGTTATGGTTGATCGGCATTGATGATGTAAAAATCACTAAAGAAATCACCAACAGAGATCAGAAAAGTCCAATGAAAAAAAGAAGACAAAGGAGTATTTAAACTTGGTGAGGAATTCTCGACGATTCAACTTACCTAAACTACACAACATTAGAAGAAAAACAATTCGAACGTTACAGAAAGAGTTCATCTTCTTGAAGTAGAAGTAGGTGAAGGTTAAGATTGAAATAAGGATGATTTAACTGATTGTCTTTGGTTTAGTAATGATACTGAGTTGATCACAAATGTAAGCTTTGATAAATATATAAGCTAAAGATGTAAATGAAGTTGGATGTATTATAGTGTGACAAAGAAAGTATGAGATGAGAATAAAGTTGTTAGAAATCACCAAAGTTAACCCGTTCTTATAGTGACGAGGGATCTAAAAGTTGCAGTGTAAGAGACACCGCACGAGTGATAGCAACGTTCCATCTCTCTTCAAGCATCAAGAGATGGCTTACTTCAACTTGACGACTGTCGGGATCCCCGCATGGACTCACCTAGAATTCGGCTCAGTTCGGCTCTTTCTACGGAGAATCGGAACCGCCACCGGACAAGAAAGCCACATCGTAAGATCTTGAACATATGCACCTGTTCCATGCAACTTCACTTCTATATAACTTCACCGGTGTATAACTTATGACCCGCATTCATCAGGTGGTCATGAGAGATGATTAGCCTGACGACGGCACTGTGGGCAAAGGACGCGTAGATATATGTACATACAAATCATGGAAGAGATTTCAAGGATTTGAATTTGATTAATTTGTATAACACTTTAATTGAACTTAGACTTCCATTCTCTTGAATTGACTCTCTCTCCCGAATCTCTTGCTTGATAAATGTATCAATATATACATCTTTCTCGCCGAAAAGAAATTTCTTTCAATTAAGAATCTTACGCGTTACTAGGTTGTTATCAATTTATTCATAAAATCTATAGATTCAATCACGCTTCTGTTTTTGTGGTTTCCATGGTTCACAAGTTGACTTGTTTGACCATGAGTAAGGCTACTTCATTACCATCATGATCTCCTTGGAAAGGCTTAGAGTCCGATATTCAAGGTAAAGGTAGTCAAATACAGTAATTGTGATGAGTCATAACAATCCTTTGGTCAGCCCGTTGCTCTTCATTTCATGCAGTGATCATCCAAGGATACATTGGATAGTCCCGCCAACACAATGATCTGGCTGGTACATATTTGTGTGAACAACATGTTTGGGAATCAAAGAACTCACAGGGAATAATATTGTGTTGTGAGCTCAAACCTAAATTGGGCACACTTTACTGATTATATCATCCAGTTTATCACTCACATCAAAAATGACTCTACTTCACCACATTGGCAAGAGATGTGTAAATAAATTATGTTTGATAACTTGTAAGAGCTTTTAAATCTTTTACAAAAAACAATACTTGATGATATTAAAAAAAAGATATAACTGAAAGTGAGTTTGGATATTGATATAATGAAAATGTATTATTATACACACATAACAACAATTAATTGAAAGAAATTCATTCATGAGCTTGAAAAGAAGAAGAAAAAGAAGAAGAGGAATTAAAACCACCATGCAGATAATTTGTAAACTTCATCATGACCAAAGAAAAAAAAACCCTTATCCAAAATCAAACCAAAACCAATAAGAATAGAGACTCGAAAAGAAAATTGAAAGAGATGATGATCAGAAAATGGAAGGATCTTAACAACATTTTCCTTTTAATCCAACCATTCTTAAAACTTTCTTTCCACTAAACCCGATTCCATTCCCACCAGAAAGTTCAAACCCGTCACCCGACCCTGCACCCCAAGAAGAAACTCTCTTCAAAGCTCTTTCACCATAACTAATACCTGAACCATTCCGATCAGGATCAATCCTACCAGATTCAATTGACAAAAGAATAGATCTAGTAAGTAATAAAAAAGGAGATGAAACCGATTCGCCTGTTAAAGAAGAAGTTTCTAAAAATAAACAGTCATGTGATTTAGCCCAATCTGATGCTTCTAATTCTCCTACTTGTCGATTCTCTTCTTCTAAATCTACTTTGTTTCCTACTAAGACTACTGCTAAATCTGGTGATGCTAAGGCTCTTGCGTCTGTTAACCAAGATGATAAACTTGAAAATGTTGATCGACTATGATTTTGTTTATAGCAAAGATGAAGAGAATGATCGAATCAGATTTGAATTCAAAAGTTGATTGAATCAAGCTTTGTGTGAAATTGAAGATGATTCAAAGGTAGTACTAACTCAGAAATATCATAAACTAAAATCGCACCAGCCGCACCACGATAATAATTACGAGTGACACTTCTAAACCTTTCTTGACCAGCTGTATCCCAAAGTTGCAGTTTCATACGACAAGTAGGATGTGAATTTGAAGAAGATGAAGAAGAAGAAGCTGAAGGTAATGATAAGATCGTAGAAGAAAATTCGACTCCTATTGTATGAGGAGATGGATGACGAGGTTGAGATCTTAAGAAATGATAAAGTAATGAAGATTTCCCGGTACCTGATTCGCCTATGACTGATATATGATTGAAAAGTAAAGTCAATAAGATGGTTTTGCAGATAAGAGATAAGGAAGGTGATCAAACTAACCAATGAATTTGAGTAAAAAGTCTACATAAGAAAATGTATTCAGAATGATCAGTGCTTGATATTGATAAGAAGGGAAAATAAGAGAGAAAGTGACTGACCATATGGCTCTATCAATTCAGTTGGATTTCGATCCATATCACTATAAGAATCGTAATCCACCACATTCAATAATGTTAGAAAGAAAACTAAACTATCTTTGTCGCTCGAGGTAAGCACTTTGAAGGTTTCTGATTGATTGAGATGAGCTCGTTTGATGAGATTGAAGTCGTAGGCGTAAGTCGAAAGTAAAAGTTGATAAGGAACTCAAATCAATCCTCAGCAAGTGACAAGGAAAGGAACCAAACAGATTACTCAATTAAATCGATTAAAACAAAATCAGTTTGTAAAACTACAGTTTCAAAAACTTGACTTCCAGAACTGTATCGGCTGATCTTAACTTTTAAGGAAACTTTAATCATGTGAACTACAGTTTCAAAGTTGATCGACCAATCTTTGAACTCATCTTTGAACTCGGGAAACCATAC